AAATGAAAACAATAGGAACAAAAATTGTATTCTTGGAATAAAACAATAATTTGGATTAACATGAAACAATATCAGTCCAGAAACAATAGACCTATCCCGTTATTATAATGGTCCGAGTTTAAAGTCGAAATTTCGAGATTAAAGTCGAAATTTCGAGATTAAAGTCGAATTTCCGAGAATAAAGTCGAAATTTCGAGAATAAAGTCGAAATTTCGAGATTAAAGTCGAAATTTCGAGATTAAAGTCGAAATTTCGAGATTAAAGTCGAAATTTCGAGTTTAAAGTCGAAATTTCGTTATTAAAGTCGAAATTTCGAGATTAAAGTCAAAATTTCGAGAATAAAGTCGAAATTTCGAGATTAAAGTCGAAATTTCGAGATTAAAGTCGAAATTTCGAGTTTGAAGTCGGAATATTTTTTTTTTACTATGTGGCCCTTCTACGCCTTCGTAGGGTACAAATTGTCCTTGTGAAAAATTCTAATCACGGATGATTGGCTTATTTCGGTAGTTGCAGATAATCGACGAGTGCTTACTTCACGATTTTCTGCTACTCTTACCAAAATTTTATCTTCTTGCTGTGGGTTAATAATTTTGGAACGTCCTATATGGTATTTTGGACAAAACGAGCCTGTTTCACCCAATTGGTTATAGTAAGATAACCTACGTTGAACCTAAATCTTTAATTTAGCTGAAAATTAGATATAATCGGAAATAAATCAATTTAACTTTTGATCTTTATACACAGGGATACCTCGTCCTCAAGCATTTTTTGATATCTTTAATTCATGAGATATAACCATTGTAAGTTCATAAATTTGTCACCCCATATAATATATTATTATATACCTACATATTATATAATATAAATGTTGCTTTGCATTTTTATAAAATTGTATGTCATTTTTATTTAAATGCCATTGCTTGCAAATCTGTGATATCTATTTTTTTTTACAAATTGTATATATTTTTTTATATATTTTAATTTTATTTAATTTGGCAGGTAATAAATGTAATAGGAAATTTCTGAAAAGACTCGAATATAACATTATGTTTTTATACAAGGTGTTAAGAATAATACCAGCACAATTTTAACAAATTATTTTTAAAGCAAAATATCCAGAAAATAACTAAAAATGTTGACATATAGACAAGATTGAATTTTATAAGATAATATCACTCACAATAATAATTTTCTTTGCTTTAAATAGCTGATAATCATGTTTGGTACATTAATATTGTAATACTATAATAATAAGCAAGCTTGTAACGTTTTGTCAATGTTTTTGTATTGTAAATTATATTAATTCGTGATATTATCTATTGAATACAACTTTTGATATCGATTCTATATGGATAATCACATAACTATATGTATAAGACTTTTACGCCATTTTTTATCCTTAATCGTCTGGTAAAATTATGCTTATATTATACCTTATGTATATGAATTTGTTTATTTCAGCAGCACATGGTGAATAATTAAGTTGTAAATATATATAAATTCAGATTTTCTATAAACAAATAAAACGTTAATAATAAAATGTGTTATTTTTTATTTGTTTACACACCGTTTTCAATAATACCCGTAGTTTTTACCATTTGTATTCTTCCATTTAACGATTAAGCAAGTGATACAGTGACGTATTTAATACTTTAATATTTTATAGATTTTTATTCTATTAACATTTTCTCCAACGGCTTTTTTAAAACTTCTTCGTCGAGCGCTCCACTACTGCAGTAAAGTATTTCCATGTTTTACAAGGTAAGAATAAGCGAAAAGTTTTTATTTTTGCCTTTCGCAAAGAATTCACTTAAGAGTGTCATTATTTCCTATATCGAAAAATTGTAAAAAAAAGTATACAGAGTGTACCAATAAAAACTCCCAGGCCGGATATTTTGGTAAGTAATAGAGATATTTTAATTCTGTAAAAGCCAGTTTATAGAGCGCTAAGAGAGCTCCAGTTTTAGATATAAATTAATTTTAAATAGGTCAATATGTAGATGGCGCTGCGCTCAATATTTTTTTTTTCGATGGGAGGATCTTTCTTATACAGGGTGTTATTGAAATACACGTACATATTAAAATGGGGAATAGTATGTAATGACCAAAAACGATTGGCACCAATTTTAACTTAAAATTCTAAAATTTAAATATTGGGGAAGAGTCCCCTTTTCCGACCTACTAGTTTCCATATTTAAAGAAGTAAAATAAATCGAAATTGAACTTACCCATAGAAATTGCACTGTTGCCGTAGCAAAACCAATTAATTCAAAATAAAGTTTATTACAGTAATTCTTCAAAATGCCGTCCATTATTATTTACACACACTTGCAATCGTCTTTCCAAAGAACTTTGAACATTAGAAATTAAGTCTTGGATTTTGTCGTAGTTCCTCGGCTACCGCATTAACTTTATTGGTTAATTGTTCAACACTATTAATAGGTTCATTATAAACCAGTTGTTTCATGTGACCCCACAAAAAGAAATCGCATGGATTTAAGTCCGGAGATCTCGGAGGCCACTTAGTAGGTCCATTTCTGCCTATCCACTTTTGAGGAAATCTAATGTTCAAAAACTGCCGTACGTTTAAATCAAAGTGAGGAGGAGCGCCATCTAGTAGGTACCACATCCGTTGCCTTAATTGTAACGGTATCTCTTCTAGGAGTACTGGCAAAATATCTTCTAAAAAGTGGAGATATCCTGGCCCATTTAATCTGTTCGGGAGAACATAAGGCCCGATTAAATACTGATCTATTATGCCAGCCCAAACATTTATTGAAAATTTTCTTTGATGTCCAGTTTCCCTAATGGCGTGAGGATTTTCATCACTCCAAATATGCGTATTGTGCATATTGAACACGCCATCACGAGTGAATGAAGCCTCGTCAGTATACAATAATATTTTTAGAAAATCAGGAATATCAACACATTTTTGAATCATCCATTCACAAAACTCCACTCTCTTTTCTTCATCACCTGGATATAAGGCCTGGACTTTTTGGATGTGATAAGGATGTAAACCTTGTTCTTTAAGTGTCCGCCACACAACAAATGAGGACACTCCAATTTCACGACCTAGTCTTCTACAACTTAATTGAGGCCGGTTTTCAACAGCTTCCAATATTTCTTCTTCGGCCGCCAATGTTCTTTGTGTTCTTGTTCTCCCTCGATCTGCATTGACACTCTCAAATTTTGCATGGTCTCTTAGATGCTGAACAGTTGAAATAAACGTACGACAGTCCGGAATTCTCCGATTTGGAAACCGTTCGCGATACAGGATTTGTGCTTGCCGAGAATTTTCTCCAGCTGCCCCATAAACCAGCACTATATCCGTTAGTTCAATATTCGTAAATAGTGGCATCGTAAAAAAATATTTAAAAGTAATCGTAACAACACTTTTTACCAACTTGGAAATGACGCGCTCGTGTTAGCCAGATTCGTAAATCAACTAAAATTTTAATAATCTATAGTTTCAAAAATGTATAGTTTAAAAACAATCATTTATCAAATATTCTAGTTTTTTGATAACGAGGGTAGTAAAAACCAGTCTTCGGAAATAGAAATTAATTCGAAAATCTTGGCAACATGGTTATTTCTTACAAGACTAGTTTTCTTATCATCTGACAAAAACTTGCATATTAATTACTGTTGATGTTTAAAATAGGTAAATAAACCTAATTTATATAGGTCATCCTCAAACATATCAGTGAAGTACGTTTGTTTTAGAATTAATTTTCAAAAATTAATAACTCCCTTAATAAGGGGTATTTTTAAAAAATAATATTTTTCTACATTCAGTGGGGATCTGCGCAATACCCAGTTTTAATATGTACGTGTATTTCAATAACACCCTGTATAGTGGATCTGGTAAAAAATGCATTTTTAAGCAAATTTTGTTTTATAAACTAATTCGATAAATCTAGCCATTTTGGATATACAGAGTGGGTAATTCAAAACAGTTTCATCCTGTTTTTCGGCATTAATCATTGGATTTTTAGAAAATGCTAAAATATGTCAATTTTTATTTCAAATTGAACACATTTTTACAATACAGACATCTGTCATGTGTTAACCCCCTCCCTTCCACTTCTCCAACCCCTTAATTTTAAATAAGGAATGTACCATGTACGGCACATCATTGAAAAGGTAATTTTACGGGGAAGTCAGAAATATGACTTTTTGTTTCGATACTTTTAATTTTAGCGCCCTTTATCGGGATAAAAACCAGTGACGTATTCATTTGAAAGCTAATTCAATTCACCATATAACATTAATATAAATATTTCCATATTGCACTTGCAACAAAATAAAGTTGATAATAATGTTTTAAATGGCTAATTTTCAAACTATTGCAAGTACAATATGGAGGATATTTATATTAATGTTATGTAGTGCATTAAATTATTAACTCAATTTGCATTCAAATAAGGTGTCACACTTTATAATACGTAGTTTTTTTATCCCGATAGAGGGCAGCACAATTAAAGGTATCGCAATGAACAGTCACATTTCTAAGTTCCCCATAAAATTACCTTTTTATTTAATAATTTGGAATAAAAATCGACCTGTTTTAGCATTTTCTTAAAATAAAATCCAATGATTAATGCTGAAAAACAGGATGAGACTGTTTTGAGTGACCCACTCTGTATATCAAAAATGGCTAAATTTATCGAATTAGTTCATAGAACAAAATCTGCTTAAAAATGTATTTTTTACAAGACACGCTACACAAGAAAGATCCTCCCATCGAAAAAAAATTAATAAGCGCAGCGCCATCTACATATTGACCTATTTAAAATCAATTAATATCTAAAACTGAAGCTCTCTTAGTTCTCTGTGAACTGGCTTTTACAGAATTAAAATATCTCCATTACTTACCAAAATATCCGGTCTGGGAGTTTTTATTGGTACACCCTGTATACCATAAAATTATTTGTTTTTTTTTAGCTCACTGTCCGCAAAAATTTTAGGCAGGTCTTAACGTCAGGATAAAGATAAAATACAATATTAAAAAATAATTTTTAATCACTATTTTACAATAAAAAACAATCTTATCAGAAGTCTAATTTAAATTTTGCTACGAGCGATAAATGATCGGAGCCTAATGTTTTATTTGGAATTTGCGTGCCATTTAATTCTTTATTCGTTGGTAATCTATATTTAGAAAGAAGTTTCAACTTATCTTCTGGATACATTTCGCCTTTTTTCTTACTAAAATTATCATTTTTAATTTAATAAATCAACAATTGAATCTGGAAATCATAGACAGTAATGGAAAGTGTGAAAAATGCTGTTATTTGTCATTCAGTTAACAATTGGGTAACCTATAGATTGTTTTTTTTTTAATAGATTTGTGCTCATTAAAAGAAAGAATTTATATTTCAATTGTTGGACACTTTCATCAACCTTGCTTGTAGAATTAAGAAAAGTTCATTGTATAAGTTGGAAAAACCTGATTATAGCACACCATATACCAGGTGTTCAAATTAAAGCGTTACAGCTATACACAGCTTTTTATAAAAAAAAAAAAGTTTCAGACGAAAGTTTTATAGTTTTGTGGGAAAAAACTTTTGGCTAAAATCGTTTTTTATAGCTAACCATAATATGGCCAACTTTTTTTCGCGCAGCAACATTTTCAAGTAGCTGTTACTCAAAAAGTAAAAGTCCAATAAAAAAAATATTTCCCTCAAAAGTTTCTTATTTTTTTATGTACTTTAAGAATATGTAAGAAAAAAATGAGATTCCCATTTAAAAAAACAAAGTCCAACTCGATATGGCCATATTATGGTCAGCTATAAAAAAATGAATTTAGCCAAAACGTTTCCCCCAAAAAACTATAAAACTTTTGTCTGAAACTTTTTTTTCTAAAGTACATATTTTCGGCGGTATTTAACTGTAACACTTTAATTTGAACACCCGGTATAATCAGGTCTAATTATACAGGGTGTCTGTAAAAGGTCTTTACAAAAACATACCACATATTCCTTAGATCAAAAGTCGCACATGGTTTTATGATAGTTTCTATAATAGTTTTGTTTAAGTTGTTTATACTGAATCTGTTTTTAAGAATTTTGTTTAAGTTTTTACCCGTTTCATCAAAAAGAATTAATATTTTGTTCCCGGTTTCCATTTTATTTAATACTTCCATCTCTTTTACATCGTTGGTTTGGATTATTTTACTCTTTTCTATTTTTTCTTGATTTTTTTTTAATGGGTATACTGTTGGTTTTAAAGAAGTATTTTTTACCTCTACTCTTAGTTTGTTAAGTTGTTCTTGGTACTAATTAATTTCCTCTTCTAATATTCTTATTGCATTGACCATATTTCTGCCCACACTATCTAAATCTTTTAATTCTTGTTCCAAACATTTTATTTTGTTATTTTTATTTCTTAATACAGTTTCATGAGATAACATCCTTACTTGAGTTTCAATGATTTTTTTATTCAGCATTTTTGTGGTGTCACTCTGTTCTTTAATTTTTTGATAGTCTTTTTTCTCCATTTCCATGGCTTCATCTTCAAAATCTTGTGTTTTTTTTTATTTAATCTTTCAGTATGTCTATCTTTGTCTTGTATTGTTTCTTTTAGTTGATTGATATAAAGGTCTTTACAAAAACCTACCACATATTCCTTAGACCAAAATAAGTCGATTTAAGCAAAATTACCTTAGTACAAAGTTGCTTCGTTTGGGCTCCAGAGGGCCTTGAAGTTACAATTTTTAAATCGTTTTTCCCATATCAATTTAAAACGACATATGCGATTTTGCTGAAATTTGGTATATTGGTAGAGTTTTATGTGTCAAAAAAAAATGGTATTAAAATTTTGTCCGATAATAATACATAGGCGTAGAACTTGATTTTTTAAATAATTGCACCTTTAAAAATTCTACGCCAATGGAAGACAAGGAGTTTGAGTATGAAATTTAGATTACGCAACTCATTTACTTTAAAAAAGGTACTCCTGATAAGACTCGATTACTCTCATGGTTTTGACGAAATTTGCATTTTAGTAATTTTAGAACATAAACAATAATTATTAAAATACAAACTTTGTCAAAACCATGAGAGTAAATCGAGTGTTATCAAGGGACCTTTATTGTAGTAAATGAGTACCCAATCCAAATTTTATACTCAAACCCCTTTTCTGTCATTGGCGTAGAATTTTTAAAGGTACAATTATTTAAAAAATCAAGTTCTACGCCTATGTATTATTAACAGAAAAAATTTTATACGATGCAAAACATAAAAATGTACTTTTTTCATATCTTCTTCAACACCTCTAATCGAGACTTTTAACAAAAATACTTGATTCTTTCCATGTACGATTTTTTGAGGAATATTAATTATTTGCCTGCAATACGTATACAAAAACATTTATTGTTGGTTTCCATAGTTTCAACTAAATAAAAATATTGTCAAGTTTTAACACCTAATCTCTTGTTAACGATTGAAAGTGTTCTATCTGACTCAATAATTATAAAAACAAATGCGTGGTTTATTAATATGGCTGTACAATATACCAATGCAGAATATACCGATTAGACTGGGCCAAAACAATTGACTATTTTTTTTTGAAATCGAAGAAAAAATTGAAATTTTAAATTTTCCGTTCTTAACTCAATTTTTTTCACTTAACGGAAGAAATTCACTTTTTCGATCATTATTAAACATTATTCGTCACAAATCTCTCAATGTCTATCATTATTTCAACCAAATTATTACGAAAATATATCAATTTCACAATAAATATCAATTATTTTTCAACAAAAGCGTAGTTTTCTTATCTTTAAGTAATTTTTGGGTAAACAATTATTTAGTTTCATTATTGAAAATGATTTTTTGTAGAACATGAAATTCCCTTGAAGAATCCGCCGACATGAGCTTTTTTAAATATTCATTGGTTCATTAGTTACACAATTTCAAAATAAAAAGGGCAAATCGAAAAAAACACATCGATTTATTAAGCTCAATTAATCGGAAACGGCTCGTCTGACAAAAATTTTCAATCAGACCTTTTTTGTAGAGAATTTAATTTTGTATCAAAATAAGTGATAAAGAATTTTTGCATTCTAATTTTTTGATAGTTCTAACGTAAAACATCAAATTATGACTAAAAATCAAAAATAGCGACGATAGACCTCTTAAAATTAATATTAAGGGCTTACATTTTCACGAAATTTTTTTTTTGTCATTCTGAGTGATATTCTCGATATATTTTTCAAAAAAAAATAGTCAATTTTTTTGGCCCAGTCTAATACCGATATGTTACTAACATTAGGATTTTGTGAAGGAAATGCTCGAGAGAGTGCCAGGGTGTATTCTGAAAGGTTTCCAAATCGTCGTGTACCTAGCCACCCAACTTTTGCTACTGTTGAGAGACGTCTTCGGGAGACCGGTTCCTTTGTTCCCAACACTGTTGATAATGGAAGAGAACGTTTTGTAAGGATTCCTGAAGTTGAAGAAGACATTTTAGAACGTGTTGAAGAAGATCCAGAATTAAGCACCAGACGAATTGGAAGGGAACTAGAAGTAAAGATGTCGTTCATAAAGTACTTAGAGAACAATTGCTATATCCATACCATAAGAAGCCAGTACAAGAATTATTAGTCCATGATCCTCAAATTCGTTTGAGTTTTTGTCGATTTGTTAGTATGCAAAGAGAAAGAGATCCAAACTTTGTCAAGAAGGTTCTCTTTACCGATGAAGCGGGTTTTACAAGAAGAGGTATAACTAATACCGATAATGAATATGTTTATACCGTTGAAAATCCGCATGCAATAAAGGTAAACCATTTTCAGCACGAATTCAAAATTAATGTGTGGGCTGGAATAATTGGTAATTTCATTGTTGGTCCTGTCATACTTCCACGAAAATTAACTGGAGAAAATTATTTGGATTTTCTACAAAATACGTTGCCAGAATTGTTAGAAGATTTACCTCTCCAACTTCGGAGAAATATGTGGTTTATGCAAGATGGAGCTTCAGCACATTTTTCTTTAAACGTTAGAAACCACTTGAATGAACAATATCCACACAAATGGATAGGCAGAGGTAATGACGCAGCTGTAAACTGGCCACCACGTTCCCCAGACCTAACACCGATGGATTACTTTTTATGAGGACATTTGAAATCCACAGTTTACAGGGAACCTGTAGAAAATGAGGAACAACTCTGGAAACGATTCAAGATGCAATAAACAATCTTAGAGGTGATGAAGTTATGGAAAGGATACATTTTAATTTTGGTGAACATTTTGAACAATTTTTGTAAAATCTCTATTTTGATTATGTTGTAAATAAATATTTTTGTGAACCTATACACTCTAAATTATTAAAACAGAAATTTAGCGAAAACCATAAGAGTAATCGAGTCTTATCAAGAGTACCTTTTTTAAAGTAAATGAGTTGCGCAATCTAAATTTCATACTCAAACTCCTTTCCTTCCATTCGCGTAGAATTTTTAAAGGTGCAATTATTTAAAAAATCAAGTTCTACGCCTATGTATTATTATCGGACAAAATTTTAATACCACTTTTTTTGCCACATAAAACTCTACTAATATACCAAATTTCAGTAAAATCGCTTATGCCGTTTTAAATTTATATGGGAAAAACGATTTAAAAATTGTAACTTCAAGGCCCTCTGGAGCCCAAACGAAGCAACTTTGTACTAAGGTAATTTTACTTAAATCGACTTATTTTGGTCTAAGGAATATGTGGTATGTTTTTGTAAAGACATTTTACAGACACCCTGTATATTTTTAAACATTTAATTGGTATAGTTTGTGTAAACTTTTGCGGGTTTGGTCTTCTGTTTATTCATTAATTTAGCCCGGTATAGTGTGGACTGTAATTATGTACATCGAGAAGAACTTTTTGTCCAGGAAAATCAAACGCTGATGAACGTTACATTGATTTGTCACTTTATTTATTTATTTATTTATTTATTTATTTGGGTTACACCATCCAACAGTATAAAACCAATTACAGGATGGGCACAAAAATAATTACAATTACAGTATAATTTACATCATAAAAATGATAACAAAATATTAAATACTAATAATAGCATAAAAATATGTAAACAAAAAATAGTTTAATAAACGTTTTTAACCATCATAAGAAAACGCAAAAAAAAAACTCCGTTAGGAGAAAAAATTACGTCGTCTTATGATAATTAACTCAGTCCACAATTAAGCGTTTTATTTCTTTAATTGAAATAGAAAATAAATCAACATCATTTTGAAGTTCACAAAAATTTTGATACATAAAATACATTGGAGAAAATTTTAAAATATTTGTCCTGGGTGTTTGAAAATAGAAATAAAAAGGGGAGCGAGTTCTGATACTAGGAACATTAAACATTAGTTGACGAAGTAGTTCGGGACAGTCAATTTTAAAATTTAATAATTTGTAAAGAATGCAGATAGAATAACATTTCCTACGAGTACGTAATTCAAGGATATCAAATCTATTCAGCAAGATGGTTTGCGGAATATTGCGAGTAGGGTAGACGCCATCTAGCTTGCACCACAAATATTTGACAAATTTTCGCTGAATTTTTTCTAATGCTTGGCTATATACTTCATATCCAGGACTCCAAACAATGGACGCATATTCTAGCTTACTACGTACAAAAGCGTTAAAAATAGTTTTTAAAGTGTTAGGCTCAGAGAAGTGGCGTCCATTTCGAATGACAAAACCCAAATTTCTGTATGCTTCTTTTTGAATAGTATTGACATGTTCAATAAAATTTAACTTAGCGGGTGTGATGGGTGTACTGACATAACAGGCCGCTTTCGCCGTTTCCCCTACCCATTTTGCAAAATCCTCCAAATCAAGAAACTTTTCGGTCTTGGATATCTTTTTTCCCCACTTTAATTTCAAATGATCTGGTAACTTTTTCAGAAGATCGGATAACAATTGAGGATTCTGAAGGTGTCCTGTTGACTTAAGTGTTTTCATGACAGATACCATATTGTTGAGTTCAGTTGAAAATTGGATAATTTTCTCTAGGTTTGAATCTTTTAAAAAAGGCATGCTTTTCACTTTATTAATGATGCCGTTTATCACTAACTCTGGCCTACCAAAGCGTATCTCTAAAGTGTGCATAATTAAGTCAACATTATCTGTAGTTAACAACATGTCTGATCCTGCAGATTTGGCTGCGCCCTTAAGACTCTTTTGAAGTTTTATCATGATTTCCTCGTCCGTAAAATTACATAATTTGCAAACAGTTTTAAATTGTCTATCAAACAAAGGCCACTCTTCAGGTTTTCCATCATAAACAGGAAATTCTTTATGCAGGTACGACTTATTGTGGCTGGATGAGGTTGAAACTGCCTGAATAGCTTTGACAACGGTGTCGCAAATAAGTTTTAAGTCGTTATTTTTATTAGAATCTTCTTTCTCACGGCTATCTTCATAATTTTTGTCTAATATTTCGGGTTCTGAATGAGTTTCTGCTGGTCGACTATCGTTTAGGCTATATACCCAATCTTCAACCCTCTTTGATTTAAGGTCATATGTTAATAATGTTTTGTCTGCGATACTATCTGCACTATTTTGTTCACTGGCGTCTAAAACAGCATTATGCAAATCTCTTTCCATTTCTAGCAGTTTAATTTCTTCTTCTCTTTGAGCATTCTTTAGACTCTGAATTTTCTTTTCAGTCTCCAGAGCTATGCGTTTCTTTTCTATATCTATTAAGGATCGTTTGGAACTAACTTTAGTGCAAACGGATTTCGAAATCTTTGAAGGTGCTTTCCTTGTATTCCCTCCATCTCGATCATCCGCTTCTTCAAAATCTAATATCGTTTTCGGCTTTGTCCCATTCGATATTTTATCCTTTTCTATACGTTTCTGTCCAAAGCCTTCCGGCCAAGAATAATCGTCAGGTAGAGTTCTAGTACCCGCACCAATGCGTCCGGACTTTCGGGTTACTTGACTCTTAGAATCTAATTCCATTTTCTCAGATCACGTCGGGGTCACCAATGTTAGTCTTTCTTTCTTGTCTTTTAGAGAAAAGTCTTATTTTCCTTTTTAAATCTTTAATGACATTCGTATTTAATCTGACAATAATAATCTATCAAAATCATAAACTATATCCTAACTAATAATCTCAAGTATTAAGTGATAGCGTCTATAAAAATAGGAACGGCAGATTGAGCTCATGGTTCCAAGCACGACATCTATAGCATCAAACACTGAACATACATCGTAGCCAACAAAAAGACTTTGAAGAGACATTGCTTTCACATAAGTTTCGGCATCAATTTCTAGAGTTGCTTGATACATCTTATCATTTTTCTTGGTAGCCCAAATTTTCACAACGCTGCATACTCTGGATGATTGGATGACATCATTTTGGTACTTAAGTAATGAAATAAGTTCGTCAGGTTCATGCTTCTCAATCATTCCAACTATTCTAATTTTCGGATTTCTACTTTTAATTTCTTTAACTTCGTAAGCATCTGATAATTTTGCGTTAGCTGCATCTTTAAATTTAGATGCGTCTTCATTCTTACTACACCCAACAAGTATTCCGCCATCTCTGGTATTCTTAACTTTTGAAACTTTTATATTTAATTCAGTGTGATTAATATTGCTCATAATATCAGCCTTAGTTTGAATATTATTTTGTGTAGCATCCTTAGGTTTAATAACTACAACCGATTGACATGTCGCTTGAGCTACTTGCGAATAAGTTGACTTATTTAAATCAGAGGGAGGTATATTGCTAATATTTTCTTTGGCCATTTTAAAAATTTCTTCTTTAGCTTCAGTGAATAGTTTCTCCATATTTCCTATCACCTCTTTTAGCTTAGTATCCATAGTGTGCGAAAAATGCTTATTAAAATCAGTAACAGCAGGATAACATTCCTGACAATACCATAGAAGGCCATAAGTTTTAGTATGTTTGGCAACGTCCGATGGAACTCCAACACAACCGGTGTGAAATACTTTTTGTCCACAAAAACCAGCACATGAAATACCTGGTTTTGTTCGGCTTATCGCAGTGTCACAAGATTCACATTATATTTACCTATGGGGGCAAGCTGGTGAAGCGTGACGAAAACGATGTGAACTGTGGAAGTTAAAAAAAAAACAACTCGTTAGCTCTTGTCGATATTGTAGAATGGACTCGTCCAACTGACGAGCGCATATCACACGAAGATTCGTTAGAAATCATTTTTAATTTTAGTGAGTGCGACAAGGCAATATTATGTTGCGAATTAAAAGACAGAAAATGTATCGGAATGTTGTCTATATGACCAAAGAGTGAAAAGTGTGTATTTTTTAAATGCGTGGGTTTGAGAACAGGTGGTAATTGTCACAAGGCCGGTCTGCAAAATGTTAGAACAGTTTGTATGACGAAACAAATTATTCCATCATAAATATTAAGGGTATGGTCCGTTTTTAACCGAAATATCAACTAATCGGTCCAAAACTCTGCTTGACATTCCTTAAAAATCGGTTAAATTAGGGCGACTCAAACGTCAATTCACTAATCGCTATATTTTTACGGTTACTATTAAGTCGAATGTTAATCTGTCACAAAAGTGACGTAAATTTCGGCCGTGATCCAAATGTAACCAAGAAATTCGTTTTTTAAGAACCGCTGTCAAAAAATAAAATGAATGAAATCGTGACACTTTTCTTCACACTTTCAATTATTGTCTATTATTTTCGGATTCAACTCTAGTTTTAATACGAAATTAATCAAAAATATGTCAAATTACCTATAAAAAATATAATCCACGGTTAACCATTCGTCTTGGTAAGTGGTTGCTTCCTTGGTATCCCTCGCGCCATGATCGTAAACAGATTTAAAGTAAAAATTATGTGTCAAATTCATATTGTCTGTACAATTCATTTTGCTTAGCCTGTTAATTTCATTTGTCTGCTCTTTGTCACCTTTTTTTGACGTATAATTTTGATCTTTCCGTTTTTCTATAACTTTATGGTATTGGGAATTATCTACAAAATATGAATGCTCGGTTTTTAAAGTAAAAAAAAAAATATATATTCTGGGTTGATAAATTCTATAATTCTCTTCGTTTTTTTTATATATATATAGAAAAAGTAAAAAAATATATTTAATTAGAATTCATACAATTTTTTAAATCGCAGAAAAACCAAAAATTGTGGTTGATTTTTTTAAAAATTACGGAAAGAAAGACTGTAAAAATTAGAAATGTATGTAGCCATTTAACTTATAAAAATTATTAATGCATTTATTACAACGTTTAGATACGAAATATTACCTGTAATTCCTATAGAAGAAGTAACCAGTTTTTGCTCACTAGAATCCTGATGATTTTCTAGTAATCTTGGAGATATATGTTCAAAATTAATTTTTCCCTTTGTAACGAACTCATAGAGGCTAGAATCTGGTGGAGTGTTTAAATCGCCTGTTATAATAACTGGTAGATAATAGGATAACCTAAAAAGTTTATTTTATAAATTCCCAATAAATACAGCCTTTACAACAATTTTAACAGGTTTAATATTCATTTGTTAAGGGGAGAGGGAAGTTTTTAAACTTTTTTTTTGCATTTTTTTTATTCTTGATTTTGTGAATGGAGAACCTTTCAAGAATATAGTATGAAAATTTGAGATAAATCGGAGCAAAACTAACGAAGATACAGCGGTTTGAGTAACCCCGCCTCATACATGACTCAGCGCATCAGAAAATACTTGCCCCGCCCGAGCACGCTATTGTTAGAGTCCGATTACAATTAGAAGAACACAGCTACGTCATAACCATTACTTAGAAATTCGAATACATATTATCTATAACTTTCAATAAATGAAAATTAAGTAAGTTGTTAGGTGTAAAACAATATTTCATATATTTCTATATGAGTAAATTATGCTAATCTCAAATCAAACCATAACATAAATATTTCTGTTGACCATGTCGCTTGGGATAAAGAATGTCACTTCTATAAGAGAGCACAAACAAAATTTAGAGATAGCATAGTGCCATCTCAATAGCAACCAACTAATTCATCTAAAAATCATGTCTGTATTAATTTAACTTCTAAATTTATATTATATTATCAAAATGTCAGAGGCCTTAGAACAAAAACTACCCATTTGACAGTGTTTCAGCTATTACACAATAAGCAGATTATTTTTTTACAGAAAGTTGATATAACGATACAATTCACGACGGAGAACTATTTGATTTCTTAACTTTAGATATTTATGGGGTTAATCGAAAATATGAAGTAACGAATTTTTCCAGGGTGGTGTAGTTATCTGTGCTCTGAAAAAGGAGCTAAATTCCAGTATGATTAATAAAAGTAATCTCTGTGTTTCAATTCCCGCAAATACCAATATTGATTTTCTACTGATTAAAATAAAACCAGGCTCCCAATGTTTATACGTTTTGCTTAGTTACGTACCCCCCTCCAGTTCAGTTCTGGAAACACTATTGGGATCTGAAGATAAGCGATACGCCCTCTACTGTGAACTAAAAGTTATGCCATTTGACACTTGACCGTCTGTGTTCTGTCAAGTTTTGTTTATTGTTTATCAGGTCATTTCAATATTTTAAAATTTAACAAGTATTTTGTTTGAAATATCTTATTTAATAATAAGCTAATGCTTTAAATTTATATCATATATATTAAAATATTATTTTATTTGAACTATAAGTGGAATATCAGTGAAAAACACACTTGTTGGGTGCCTGGATGCAGCCCTAAAAAAAATGGACCTTCTTTTACATTTCATTTGCTTCCTAAAGTTGGTAAATGTAGGGTAATTTTTATAAATTGTAAGTGGAAATTCTGCAAGAAATGCATGGTTACAAAAATTAAAAATTGAGAAGCATTTTAAAGATGATTTGCCTAGAGGTAATATAGATTTATTTTTCGATTGAATGTTTTTATTTTACCTTTTTTTGTGTTGTAGATGCCTCATCCAAAGTGAAAAAAAATATAAAGAAAAAATCGCTGTGTCTTCCTGCCAGTTTTTAAGTAAATGTTTGACGATTCTGTTCAATAAACTTCAAAATCAAATATTGAGAGAACAAAAAGAAGATCCAAACCACAGAATAAAGATTTTGTGACCAAACTAAAAAAAGTTCAATGAGTGTTAAATGTGATAGTGAGATTAAACAAAGTCATAGTTGAGAGTGATTTCTTTCAAGATAACCTAGCTACTCACGCCAAACAAGACAGAGGTTGCAAATACTCTTTTTCAAGTATATTGCCATTAGTGTACAAGTGCGCATACCCCAAAAATTAAAACAATTTCAGATCTTTTAAAATCTGACAAAGAGTTGTGTTCATTCACTGGTATTAACAACTTTAACATACTGTACTAGAAAATACAGTCAAATCAGCTGAAGTACTTCGGAAGATGGCCTATTGGGTATTGTAACTCAATAAAGAATGTTTATTATTATGTAAACATTGGCATATTTTGTTAACAGGAAAAATAAAAAATATTTGATTTTTATATTTATTGCTTATAATAATAGCCTTTTTACCAACAGAATCAACTCGACCCATGCAAAGAAGACTCATTTTTGAGAGTTTTTAGTTACCTTTATCCAGCACATATATTTGCCAAAAGCTTTGATCTAAATAAGTATCTTATACCTATCTAAACGAAGAGGTTAAGCAACCAGAAATACTACCATCAAATATAGTAAATCATTTTAGGCCATAAAATACTTTGAATACTATATTATCTTAGATTGGACTGGAAATAATGAATTACTATAGTCTTCGTTGCATGTGTCGAACTATTTCATTACAGAATAATATAAAAAATGTACAAAAATACATTATCAATGTACAATCATTCATTAGAAAATGTAACTGTACACGATGACTAGTAAACTTGAGAATAAAAATAATTATTAAAAAGAGTATTCTCTCAAGTACAAAATCAATCATAAATTTCAAGCTGTACATTTTCATTTATTGTATTAAAGAAGAGATCACATGAATTACTTATGTTATTAATATCATAATTATTCACACTATATCCAAACATTACAAACATCAGTGTGTTAAAAAGGTAAGAATAAGAACACTTGCAAAGTGTCATACAATTGTTTGTAAAATAATAAGTAACATGAATTAAATAATATATTATAAAAGTATTAAGACTAAAAACTAATACAAACTACAAATTAAAATTATGACCTAGTAAATTTTACATCAAAACTAACAAACAAACAAAATAGTACCTACTTGTGTTAATAGATGATTTTAAAAGAATAATTATTCTATATGTTTTAAAACATCTTGTTAAATAAAATTATGGAACATTGAAATAATAATTTGATTATCAAATAGTTTATGCAAACATAAAAGTGAAGCCATAAATATTCTGCTTCCGTACCAAGGACACATAGTTTTTGTAATAATCATAAACTGATTTTAGATTTATTTGAAAATATAAAAGAATATCTTGTGTAGTGCCATTATTTATCGATTCTTCACAATAATCATTTGTAATTTATATTTAATCTCAATAACTAAAAACTATGCTGAAAAATAGTTTGACAGAATTGTTACTCATTTAAAATTTAAAAAAATAATGGTATCCTGGTGACCAAATATTGGTGGATTTCATATCTGTACAGTGTTCATAGAATGGATAAATATATTCGTTCAATGGGCTACTTTTTCGTTCTTTAATCAGTGCGTAAAATATATAATATACATGTGGGTGTAGAACAAAATCAAAAGGTATTCGATCGAATTAGCTTGATAGTTCTTTTATTATTTGAAACAGTATACACCTAGAACACTTTATTAAGACTCCTGAAATATGTTTGCACTGTCCACTGTTCCCATCTTAAAACAAACACTGCCATTCACTAATTTTAAACATCTTGCACTGGCCTACAACAATATGGGGACCTGAATTCAATGCACTAGTTTGGAGAACAACTGCAAAAACGTGTTTATCACTAAATTCATTCTTTCCACATAAAAACTATGTGGCCCGCATTTAAAATAGCATCTTCTTTAATAACAGTCCTGGAATTTCCACCTGCATCAATATACTTCATAAGTTCTATTAAACTTAGCCTTATTTCAGACATCTCACTAAAAATAAAATAAATATATTAATATTTTATTAAAAGATAACACAAATATATCTTAAATTAACATAAATGAATGAATGTAATTTAAAAACAAAATTAATAGGGGGTTACTTACCAAATAAAAATATATATTCTACTTTAATCTAAAAACTATTGAAATAAAAGTATCTAATCACTAAAAATTAACAACAACAATATGTTTTCCCTCGTGTTTTCCTTAAAATAGCACAATATAAACCAAATACTTTTTATGGGTTGTTTGTTTACAAACTCAAAAATGTAAACAATAACAAGCCATAACAATTAGTTTAAATGTTAAGTACAGACGGCGCTGCGATCTTAATTTTAGATCCCAATCACTATTTACAACTTTATATGATAAAAATCTTCTTGTAATCGGTGATTTTAATATACCAGAGTACGCTTCTCAGATAAATAATCCTAGTATGTCTGCCAAACTAAATGTTGTCAAAACTTTTGCAAATTTCTTTAATTTACAACAGTTCAATTTAGTCAAGAATAAATTTCAACCCTTATTGGATTTAGTTTACTTTAATAATGAATGCAAGGTTTACAGAGCTGATGAAATAGTATTAAATGAAAATGATTACCATCCATCATTATGCATAGAAATTTCAACAACAAATACAAATTCACCGATGCCCTGTAAACCAGATAATATGCAGTTCAATTACAAAAAGCAAATTTCCCAAATCTCTACAATGCAATAAACAATATCGACTGGAGCTTTCTCCAAAATGTATCTAACATAGATATTAGTATTCAGTTATTGAACAACAAACTATATGATATTTTTAGAGAACATATTCCTATCAAGAAAATTAATTCTAGAACTTATCCGCCATGGTTTAATGGTAACATAATACACACGATTCGACAAAAAGAAAAACCCCACAAAATCTATAAAACCATTCAGTCGGTAGACGCATTAAATACATTTAAAAACCTTCGCTCTAAAATTAAACGAAAAATCTCATCGGCTCGCATTTTGTATTTGCGAAATATTGAGAGAAATATAAAAAGCGATCATAAACCAATCTGGAGCTATATGAATTCTAAAAATTCTTCATTCTCCATATCAACATCAGTTGAGTATAAAAACTGCTTTATTGAAGACCCACAAGCAATCGTCCAGGCTCTTGTGGATAATTTCTTTAATAGTTCTTCTCAGTCAGCATCTACCAACTACGCAAATGAATTGACTTCAAATTTTCCGACGCTATACATAAAATCAATATCACAAGACGAAATTGTCAAGGCTATTAAAAAATTGAAACTAAATATGACAATGAGGCCTGACCTGCTACCTGCCTTTATTATTAAAGATTGTGCATATATTTTTGCAA